CCACCGCCATGCAGTTCTTCACCAAGGGCTACCAGGAGACCATCTCGGGTAAGGGGGCTCCCCCGGGCCGGGTGTCACCCCGGGGAGGGAGGGAGGGTGACAGAACCGGAGCCTGGTGCTCTGGTACCAGCTGTGGTGTTGCCTTTCCTGCTTTATCGCTTCCGATGGGCTTTGCTGCCTCACCACCGCGCTGTCCCATGCCCCTTGGCAACAAGTCACCAGCGGTATGTGCTGGAAACACCCGTACCTTGGGATCTCTCCCAGTTTACTTGTTTAAACTCCATGCTGGTAAAGTTCACGTTCTCTCATCAACTTCTGTGCTTATGGTTGAGGTGAACAGAGCGAGTGCTTTTGCTTTCCCTCTTCTGGTGTAAACTTTCCAAACTGTGGCTTGAAACTTGTTGATTGTCCTTCCCTCCATCCCCAGCTGTGCTCAGATGAGGCAGGAACACTCGCTTCTGTTTGCAGACGCAGGTGCTTTGAATTTTCTCAGAAAAGGTCCCGTTCTGCTGATGCTTTTATCAGGTGAGGTTTTCCAAAGGTGGGAGTAAAACTTGAGGAAGCAAGGTAAGGAGAAAGCAGGGGATTGGGAGAGATCCCAGCCCCATCTCAGGGTCCCAGCAGCAAATGCAGGTGTAGAGAGGTATCCCAGGCTCACATCCCTGTCCCAGGTGAGTGTCTTACCTGCTTGCTGGCTGTAGACCCTTTCTGAGGGCAGGAGGAGAGGAACTGGGTGGGATTTGTTCTCCTCATCACCACTAAATCCGAAGTTGTCTCTTGGTTTCAGTGCAGGGTAAATCCTGCTTGAAAATTTAGTTTTTGCATCAGTTTTCCTCTTCTCAGACTTTCCACCAGGGACTGTACCCAATAGACACAGTGAAGGGCTTGGGGAGCTGGGGATTTCCCCTTCTGCTCCCTCTTACAGTAAAAGGCGAGTTCCTGTTAGTGTGTAAGGGATGCAGAGGCTGTCAGCGAGGACCTTTGAATGCGAATCAGGAAGGAGCTGAGCGTGTTCTGCTCTCTGGAGTACAGCACTGGGGTGTTGAGCGCCCTGGGACTGCATTAGGGTGGCACAGCAGAATGAAAAGGCTGAGCTGTGCTGATGGCTGGCATCGGGGAGTTTCCTGCTAACATGTCAGAGTCCTTTTTGTACACTCTGCTTTGACTTAAAGGTTGGCTTTCATGTTTGGTTTCTTTTTCACTTCACAAGTGTTGGCTCTTCTGAAATCAGATTGCATATAACTTCCAGTGTTAACTTACTCATGGCCAGCTTACACTCACGTGCCAGTGTTGCATCCTAGCTTCCCACAGGAACAGCATTTCTGCCCTGATGTTTGTTTTGCCTTTCTGACTAAGCCAGGTTTTAAGATTTACATCTGGAAATAGGCTCTGGACTGCAGTGACCACCCTCATTCCCCTCTTTAGTCCTGCTGCATGGTGTGTTTGAGATGCAGTTTCATATGGTCTCATAGAATAATCCTTTATTTATTGGCAATAACTTTCATCATTTGGGGATGGCATGTATCTCTTGACTGCTGTAAAACACAGGAGATACCACAGTCATCCTGCCAATCTCTAGCAGGAGGATTTTTTTATTGATAGCTTCTAAGCATGAATTTCTGTGCTGAACTTAAATAAGGTTACTGCCCATCTTAAATCCTCTCATATCTTGCTGCTGCTTTTGTGTGCAGAACCACACATTCCCTTAAGCTTTTTTAATAGGTTTTTTCTGCTCCTGTGTGGATTCTCTGGGACCCAAATAGTCTGTCCCAATCTCTCATGTACATTTCATTAAGCAGAGTAGTTCTGGATAGTCCCCTCTTCTGAATATCCATAGTTGGGAGAGAGCTGTGTTATATCCAAGAGTGTGAGGTGTCACTGTTAGGTGCTGGACTGCTTTTTTCTTTTCTTTCTAGGAAATACAATGAAGCTGTGATCTTAACATTCCTTCCTGTGCCAGGTAGGGAATCCTTTTACTTTCCAGCTACTCACCTCTTCTTGCACAATGCCTAGCTTCCAGTCTTTTCACTCTTACTAGCCAAACAGAAGAAAGAGCTGGAGCTGAAGGAAGTCCACAGCAGCTAGCAAAATAACTAGTGGATGAGGAGTTGGTTGGGAGAGCTGATAAGGAAATAACTTCCACTTGGGAGAGTTTTAAATGCATTGTGAAACCTTGAATCAACAACTACAAAGCCTTTGGGAACAAGGCTGGCTGTGGGGCTGCAGCTCCTGCTCTTTGTCTCTGCTGCAGTGTCCTGGTGTGCTGTTCACTTGGTTATACTTCAAAACCAGTCTGTGAACTTACACTGGCTTGTAAAAGAAAAAAAAAACCTCACAAAACAAATAAAAACCCCCAAAACAACTCCCCC